GAAAAATATACAGCGCGCGAATTTTAAATGAGAATTTCCGAAAACTTTTCGGTCTTAATGTATGCTGCACTGAAGCAACTCCCACAGAAATGTTGTCCATTTGGAAAATGAAATTGTCATTCGTTTTAGGAATTTTCATAAAATGGCGTAGATTCGATGTTCGTCCGTCCTCACAATAAGAATGTCAAAGCTATCGCATTCGCAATCGCACCAAACTGACACAAACATACAAATCGCTTGCAATTCCATTGCAGAAAGGAAATTTTGTATGTCTTTTTTTTGGAATACTGCTAAGACAACAATAGAAAACGATAAATCTATCGATAATTGCATCAACGTTGACAGCAACGACAATTCTGCAGCAAAAATTTGTGCTCGCCTGTTGGAAAATGTGTACTTCAGTGCTGAGCCCACCCGTAAACTTAATCAGCTCAAGTATTTCTTGTGCATGTTATATAAGATATATGAACAGATACGACTACGAGAAGGATATGTGTTCCAACAGACACACACACACACACACACACACACATATACATAAAAGTATCGATAAATTCGTAGGTATATTGTAGATTTGTGTGTTTGTGCAATTCTACGTTTATATATTGCCAATAAATTGCAAATCAAAGTCAAATTTTGGCACGAACAGACATTTTAGCGTTCCAGAGAAATTTCCAAATTACTTGCACAACTTGACGCCTTTGTGGGTGTGGCAGAGTAGTGCATGTTAACAAACATGGACGAGTATGTGACTTGTGTATTCGAGAAGAGAAGAGAAGAGTAAAGTTGTTCTGGGCGCAAATGTACTCGTACTTGTGCCAGTGTACGTAGTTTATGACACTTGGACATGTTAGCTGGCCGTACACATGATCTCCCATACGGAGGAGCGGAATTATGCAGACATGTTATGCAATTTTGTAGGTGGCCACTTTTATTAGATTTGTGCGACAATCGTGTTGCCAAGTAGCCACCCACAAATGTACAAATACTGCCAAGAAAAGCAATGTTACTGGTTCCAATTTTCCATGACATCTTAGCTGAAAAGCGGCAATAATTGCAACAACAACAAACATACCAACAACAACAGCAACAGTAGTAGCAGCAGCGATAACATTATTAGTTTTCTGACACTAACTCATTTGCGTATCTTATTGTCACATGTACCCCCACCCCAACTCTTGTGAGTTCGTCAGTCAGTTCGTTTCTACGTAGTCAGTCCTTGCTGACTGTCACTTCATGTGTGCATGAGTCTTTAGCTGTGACCGTCGCTGTGCTGCACTTTGACATTTGGTAATTTTGACATGTTCCGATTGAAGTTTTTGTCATACAAATGTGTAAATTATCTACAGAAGAGGTTATCCTGTAAGGATAATGAGAAAAACTCTATTGATCTGTATTGTTAGTGCACTGAAATGACTTTGGGTGTCACGTGTCAGTTGCTTTCGCATTGATGTTGTAGTTGATGACCAACAAGGAAAAACGTTTGTAGTTCAGGTTACCAATTTATAGAGGTGAAGCCTTGAAGTAGGCGTTGTAAATACGCCCATTTAGAAGAAGAAATGAGGAAATGTTATTAAAGGATGTTAAATGGAAATGAATGTTGTATACAAGCTATGCTACTAAAAATTGCAATTCATCTATCAAATCTTTTAAATAAATATTAAGTAGGATTCTGTCTACTATAATTTTATGTCCATAGCCTACTTCTTGAAGTAAGTGTGGTGCATGAACTATTAGCATATTTAGTTAGCATAAACCTCTTCATAGAAGAAGAATTACCTTTGCCAATAGTTACTGTGGGTTCCATAAGCAATTGGGACATTAAACTCTCTATCAATACACAAAACTTTCCTTTAATAGATCGCTCATCTTATCTGCGCTTTTGTATGGCACAGAATATTAAGCGCGATCACAGCATAATAAAGTTGCACTGGGAGTTTTCGGTAAAAAAATTCTTCGTAAGCTCCTTATTTCTCTACCAATTGATGACGACTATCGCATTTGAATAAACCATGAGCTTTAATACGATATTAATATCATTAAGCGATCTAACATCCATCGGCTTTGTTGGATTGGTCAAGTCGTTAGAATAGATGAAAATACTTAAACGAAAAAGGTGTTTGAAGCGACAATTGACCCTCTATCGATCTATCTACTTCATTATAATATATATTCATTTGTTCTGAACGTACGGGAAAACCATCAAACCGATATTGATTAAATTTTTCTGGGATGCTAATGGATGAGGTATCGAAGTTATAGACTTGTTTGTACCAGATATGTTGAAATCAATAGACTCAATCCAAATCATTCTTCATGTTATCGCCAAAGTTATCTAAAATATTAGTTGAAACTATTATTAAATGACATTATTGTGACTGTTAAAATCACATCAGCTACCTACTACATTGGCAACTTAGTTCAGAGTAGTTCCTTGACTCACTTGAATAAATATTATCATCAGAATACTATTTTACTATTGCAACTGGTTTTCACTCGTATTCCATAACAAAATTGCGATTGTAAAAATTTACGCAATTGAATTTTCCATTTACATTAACTTTGGTTTTCTTAATTTCCTTAACATTACTCCCGTGCCCAGAAGATGCACGCTTAACGCACCCCAACGCAATGAAAAAATCATCCTAGCAAATGCGTGCGTTCAAGCGCATCGTAGTCATGCATACATTTAAGTGACAGGACATGATTAATGGTTTGTCATTGCCAAATAAAAATAACAAATAAATAAAATGAGATGAATAAAAAAATATAGAAAACTTTTAATTTCGCTCTTCACAGTTCTTCCAAGGAAAGTCGTAGTTACTTTGTTATTTTAAGCCAAGCGATGTGCAAATGAAATTACAATGTGAATGAATCCTTCACAGAAAGCAGAGCACAGAATGCGTAATGTAAACACTGGAAGTAGGAAAGCAGGGACGGTAGAGCAAGGACTGCTACCCCCATGCATATTTCATTTATTTTTCTTGAAATTGATTCTACAAAAATATTCGCTTTTTTTCTTCCTCGGTTCAATACGACGATATAGCAATTTTGCAATTTCGTAACCTTCGCACCCGTCTAAGGACGCTGCATGAAGCTCGCAGGATATTGTTTGGATTGCGGTGCAATGCTTATGCGGTGTTAATAGCGTGCGAGCGCGTAAATAAATTTAATTTATTTTATCAAAGCATTGCTAATCGAATTGGATTTTAATCAATTGAATTTGAAATTAAAAAAAAAATGAAAAATTGAAATTTTTTCAAGGAGACATCTTATAAAAGAGGCATAGGAAAAATGCGAAAAGAGGTCAGGATGGATGAGTTCTTATAAATAAAGGAACCTTTTATAAATTAAATTGAGTTAAATTGATATTTTAATTTAAGAAATGGAGTATTTTCTTAGACAGAGGGTTATACATTTTGTGGTTTCGAAATTAATCGTTTAGGTACACACTTATGATTGTGATTTCAATCAAATTTTTGTTTTCAATATATTATTTGAACCCTGCTATTAGGTTGGAAAACTCGAGAAGTTTCACGGACACTGATATAAAAACGAAGGAAGTACCGAAATGGGCATCTTATGTCAGAGAAAGAAATAAACCCCTGCAAGGTAGGTTCATTACAATGTATAGGTTAAGTTGAACTTGGAGAAATACTCTAAGTCATCAGTTGAGCACTTAAAGAGTACCAGTGCACTCCATTCAAAAACTTAGACTTAAATAAACCAAAAATAGGAAGAAGGGGGCACAGTAGGTCTCAAGGTTGCAGCAAAAATTCAGCAAATATAATAATTATCACAGTTCCAAAACAAGTTATACGCCATACAGTGATTTTGTATGTCTTTTGATATTTACTTGTGAATTTTCACTGATTTAGGATTTTTCGCTAATTAGTTGACCGAAGTATGGACGGTCAACACAATTATTACTGATTCAATACCTTTACAGTAGGTAGGTAGGTAGGTTGGAGTGGCGGCCTTGTATCCCAAAAAGTCCACTTGAGCTCATATGATGACCCTTTGTGGTACCACAGGAATGACGTTGGTAGGAACATAGATTTAGATCAGTATGCATTCAACGCCGAACGAGGGTAACGACTTCCCCATTAGGTAAAGGAAAAGGTAAAAAAACCTGACGGTTCTATAAACTTGGCTAGGTCCCTAACATTACAGGATGACAGCTCAGTCAAATCGGCGAGAAAACCTTTACAGTAAGTTATAAAAAATTTCAACGCGTTCAGCGGTTGTTCAGCAATGCATATTGCAATATGGCAAACCCTAAATTATTGGTATGATACATTGAATGAAGGTTTTGATCAACACATGCCACTCAAACTGTTTTGTTAAATCAAGAACCTGACACTGATCGCTCTTCATATACAATATATCATTGTTTAAAATGACTTTTTAAATCGTGTAGTTAGTATTATCGTCGAGAAAGGCATAGTTGTCTTATAAGTATGAATTAAATTTTTCATCTTCCATATTAAAATTCAACAAGTATGCAGAATTTATATATTATCCAATTATAGAAAAATATAAAAAATTGATGGAACAATAACGGAACAAGAAAAAACTTCGCACGCAACAAAATAAATAAATTTCGAAAATATCAAGATAAAAAAAAAGTAATGAATTCCATTTATTTTGTTTGTTGTTTTTGGTTATCTTAAAGGAACTACTGCAACTACTGCTCCTTCTTGCATTCTTGCATACTGGCGTTCTGGCATTCATGCATGCCTTCATTGATTCGTTCAAGCATTCATGCAATGCATTTCCTTCGTGCTATTTAGTTTGTGAAATTGTTTTTTTATCCTTTTATTTGTAAATTTTTGTCTTTAAAAATGTATACAAAAGTTTACTTCTTCCATAACAAACGAACTCCTATGCCTTC